CTCTAGCGAACTGTTTCTATCACCTTCGGCACTGCCCACGTGTACATGAAAAAAATATTTCATAGAAACAATAAGGAGGAGCTCCCTTTACAACGTCACGCGGTCTGAAATGACCAACCATAAATATTGCCTTCTAACAGTCCCTCTAAAGGAAAAGAGGCAACTCTAAGTCAACATCCCATTATTCCATGTATTTGCTCTTACATTGATGCTAGAGTCTCCTCGATCGCCTTCCTTCTATGTTGTTCGAATGGCATTTCCTCTCGGTTAAAGATAATGAAAATTCTCTGATAAAGGAGCCGTTCTCATTTGTCATTCCGCTTGACCTGCAAGGGTATGTAAACTAAAAATATATTGAGAAAAGTAAATTTACAAGATAAATTTAAACTTGCCCTTTGCCTGAATCTGTAGAAATGCGCACAGTTTCTTCTTGATTTCCATCTCTTAAGTTTGAAAAAAGGCCGTGCCCTTACTAATGTTTTCCTGTGGTAACGAAGCACTTATTTATTTTGTTATTGATCGTTGCCTTGTTTTTCAATTCAATAGAGATAGACCTACCGCTCAGCCTCTTTAGAGTTGTCGTCTTCTACGGGAACAACCGCGGGACTACCACTATCACTGAAAAAGGCATTCAATATTAAGTAAAGAAATAAACAAACAGACTAACTAATAGAAAATAAACGAACTAACGCACGAATGCATGGATGGGTGGATGAACGGATGAAGGGATGGATGAACGAATGAATGGATGAATGAACAAACGAATGAATGAATGAATGAATGAACAAACGAATGAACGACTGAATTAAGGTAATAATGATTTCATGCGCTGCCTTGTTTTTCAATTCAATAGATAGAGTCCTACCGCTCAGCCTCTTCCGAGGTGCCGTCTTCTACGAGAACAATTCCGGGACTACCACTATGACTGAAAAAGGCATTCAATATTAAGTAAATAAATAAACAAACAAACAAACAAACAAATAGAAATAAATAAAATAATAAACGAACTAGCGCACGAATCAGCATGGATGTATTGATAAACGGATGGATGAACGAATGAATGAATGAATGAACGAACGAATGAACGACTAAATTAAGGTAATAAAGATTGCACGCGCCGCCTTGTTTTTCAATTCAGTAGATAGAGACATACCGCTCAGCCTCTTCAGAGGTGCCATCTTCTACGGGAACAACCGCGGGACTACCACTATGACTGGAAAAGGCAATAAATATGAAGTAAAGAAATAAACAAACAAATAAAGACATGAATAAACCAACAAACGCACGAAAGCGTGGATGGCTGGATGAATGGAAAGGTAAATGAACGGATAGATGGATGAACGAACGAACGAACGCACGAACGAATGAATGAAGGATTATGATCGCATGCGCTGCACGTTATCGAATTTGAATTCGGATAGCCTGCGCAGCAGGCGTATAAAGGGGAGGGGGTGGGGGAGGAGGAAGAGAATTTTTCCCCTCACCCCGCCCCCCACTCCTCCGTTTTTTACCCCCAATTCTCTTCCTCCTCCCCAGCCCCTCCACTTTATACGCCTGCTACGCAGGCTAAATTCGGAAGGCGAAATACAATGATTCAGATTCATTAATTCAACCTACCTCTCAGTCACTGCGGGAAAACTGTAATGCCCTGTGTTTAGGTGATCTATCTCACTATTGTCGATTGTATCGAAATTCGAAGCGAGAATTGTAGGTCAACGAACGTTCGTGTCTTCGCGTGGGTTCGCGATACAAAGACGTGTTGTTCGAATGCGACTAAATACTCTTCAAATAGCCAATTTACGTTTAGAATATCTCGCTTTGTATTGATTTTTGTGTATTAAGTCAAGTTATGAAGCGTTCAGCCAAATAACTTTGGATAAAAGCTTCGTTTTGTTGCATTTCGATGCGGCTTCGAACTTGCATATGTAGGCGGTTGCCATGGTGACCGACACACGCACTTTCTGTTTACGACCCGGAAAAAAAAAAATCGTAGTTAACTCTACATTTCCTCGATTTCCATTCGGTTTTCGGGATGCGTTTGTTTATATCAATATCGGAAAGCAGTGAATTATCATGAAATTCAAATAGCAGAGTTGATTTACAACATTTTTTAGTTTTTCTCAATATTCTAATAACCTTTTATTGATAAATTTTTCTAATTAAAAATTTTTTCAAAGTTACAGTACTTTCCTCAAACTCCAACAATACTTGTCACGATATTGAATAAAGAATTGTTTGTTACATTTGTTGTTTTTCTTTTGACACAGAGATGAGTTAAAACAGATAAGAAGATAAGAAGATGTGGAGCACAGGGTACCAATTCAATGACACACAGTGATCAAGTTGTCCTCAATAACTCCATTAGTCTTAATCTCACCTGGTGTTAGCCCTTCCCTGATCTTGGGTATCCAGCATTGGCGGGAGATCATCATAATCATCCTGAAGAGTGAGAATATATATTTACGTAAAGGAAGGAGTGCATATGTCGCATTCAGTGGAGGATTTATCAGACTTTCAGTATTGAAGATATGTCAACACATTACCTCATTTCCGCATGTCTCCATATGGCGGCGCATTGTTGACAGGGCCACGGGCGTCTTGCATATCATGCAGTCTTCATATTGATCTCCCCAATCCAGATTGCTATCGTCTAAAGTAATGTCAATCTGCACTGGCCTAATGTAAATACGGCCAGTGCCAAAGCAACGCATCTCTTCTGTACTGCAACTTCCGTATGATACGATACTTAGTTCCGTGCGAGACTTCTCTTTCATGGTGAGAAGTTCAAACCCCCCACAGAATTTTAAAGGTGTGAATGCTCTGAAACAAAAGGAAAAAGGAAGTGCTGACTGTTTGCGAAACCAACACACTGCTAGAACGCTCAAGTACATGTACAACCTTTGCGCAGGTCTTGACAATTTCTTCAAGGTATTGTCTAAGTACATAGGTGACACGTTTAGTAGCACAAACTGTGCTTACAATCATCGTGAAAATGGATGTGGATTCAACCAGCCAGCCCCCAAGTTGCCAACGCTAGCTTTGTGCACATATCTCTTTCTTGTGTGTTGACTCTGAATCAATTTACCTACTCACGTTATGGAAGCTCTCAGTCTTAAGAAGTGCACAGATTTTCTACCTATTTTAGCTTCATAAAATTCATATTAAATTAACGAGTATAATACGAACGAGATGCGCAAACAAAGAACCGGCACTTACTCGTACAAAACTGACTTCACGCTTTCCGCGTCAGCGTTAATGGGAAGAAGAATTTTCTTTTCCCCCAATCCGTTGCCTTGAAGGCGTAACTTTTCGGCCGTAGAGG